CGTCCACCCCTGGCCGGGAAGAGGCTCCGCCGACCCGGGAGGCTGAGCAGGTGGAGGGGGAGGAGGGGGAGGAGAGCGAGGAAATCAAGGAGAGGGGTGCGCAAGGAAGCCCAGCGAATAGCCAGCAAAGGGAGGAAGGCGAGCGACGGGACCTCGAGGACGAGGAATGGACGGAGGAGATGCAGAAGCTGCAGGAGCAGCAGCTGCGCGAGGAGCTCCTGGAACAGTACCGGTCGCTGGTGGTCGAGCGCAGCAACTACCAGCGCTACAACAACTACCTGCAGCACAAGATCTCCGAGGCGCTGCGCAAGAAGAAGGGCCTGGACGCCGCCGAGGTGCCCGACAAGGGCCCGGAGCCCGATGCCCCCGAGAAAGAGCAAGCATACCTCCGCCATCTGGCCTTGCTGGAGGAGCTGAGGAAGCAGCAGGCGGACGATCTGGAGTGGTACCACCAGGAGCTGGAGCAGCTGCAGGAGCAGTGCAGGGAGGTGCTGACCAGGGTGGAGGAGGAGTGGGCCGGCTTCCAGGCACTCAAGAAGCAGGTGGTGATGCAGGCCATGGGCACCTGTTGGGTGCGCGGCGGCCGCCAGGCTGCCCTGCGAGAGGTGGAGCAGATCCAGGCGCTGGAGGATAAGAAAGAGAAGGAGATGAGCGCCGTGAGGCTAGAGAACGTGCAGCTGAAGCAGAGCTTGGTGCACTTCGAGACGCGGATGAAGGCCCAGGAGGACCTGACGGAGGGGCTGCTGCTCATCGATTTTGAACAGCTGAAGATCGAGAACCAGACCTTCAACGAAAAAGTGGAGGAGCGGAATGAGGAACTTTTAAAACTGCACAACAAAGTGACCAACAACGTACAGATCATAACCCACGTGAAGGAGAAGTCACACTTCGTGGACTTAGAAAACATGTGCAAAAAGACACAGCTTTTGGAAACTGAGGCCCAGGTGGCCCTGAAGAGGGACATCCTGACCAGGACGAAGCAGGCCCGGGACAGCCTGCGGGCTGACAACATCAAGCTGAGTCAGAAGTGCGGGCTCCTGGGCAAGGAGCTCCTGCTCCGGGACATGGAGGAGAAAGTGGACAGGACAGAAGCCCTCAACCAGCGTATCGAGTCCCTGAAGCGCCATCATGCTGGCCTTACTATGTCCTGCAGAGGCGTGAGGCAGAAGATCAGGGAAGCCAAAGCCTTTCTCCCGTCTTAACCCCCACGACGGGAAGTATCCACAGGACATCTTCAATGTCAGCAACTTTTTCTAGCCTTCATTAATTCTTAAGTCTCTGCTTGTGGCCATTCTTTAAAAGGCTTCCGGTATTGGGGATGCAGCTGTATTTTGTATTAATCTCATCATTGTCAGCTCCTAAATTAGTCCTGAGCACAATTGGGTTAGCCGTCCATTTTACAAAGGGTGAAGTCAGGCCCAGAGACGTGACGACTTACTGTACCTGACTTCTCATAAAAAAGCTGTCAGAAGCCTTGTTGTATCTGAGAATGTCTGTAATTTCAAAGACTTGATCCTGTGGAAAACTGTTCCTCTTCCATATATCAGAGGGCTCAACAAACAGGTGAGGGAGCAAGAAATGTCCTGTGCTTATATAAGCTAATTATTAAATCCCCTTTGAACATGTTAAACTGTGTCATTCTGATTCACATCCTCAACATGAAGCTCACTAGTTTCCTTCGATGAATCTAAACTTGTTTCATATGTAAGCAGCACAGGCTTCTGGGTAATAAACAAGAGGAGGGAAACAGGAGAAATGGTAACTAGGAGAAGGAGCTGACGTTCTGTCCTCTTTCCTCTTTCCATGAGAGGAGGCTCAGTCTGCTTGACCATTAACGTTTTCTTCTGGCTCAACGACAGTCTGCAATTCTAATGAAATGTTTCCTGGGATCCTCTAAAGAAATGCAAAAACATGAAATTTTGTTTTCCAGTGAGGACGAAATGATGATTGCACAGTGTGTCTGGCCAGAATGCCCGTAAGCCTTTTGTTCTCGGCAAGGTATTTTTGGATCTTGGCAAGAGGACCCTTACTGTGCGTGTGATTTTTCTGTATCAAATGTAAAAGTGTCTACTATTCCTTGTGTTAATGTAAGAAACACCTGATAGGCCTACCTCTTTCATCCAGAATTGGGGATTCCATTTCCAACTTACTTTGGTGGTTTTGAAGCTAGGGGCTTGGTTTTATTTCTTCTTAATTTTAAATTGAGTTTTGAAATGTGCAGATTTGGGGTTGGAAGTATCCTCCCGTCCCCAAGTTTAAGTAGGTCATAAGAAGGATGAGTTAGGGGGTGACTGAGTGGCTCAGTGGGTTAAAGCCTGTGCCTTCGGCCCAGGTCATGATCCCAGGGTCCTGGGATCAAGCCCCACATCGGGCTCTCTGCTCAGCAGGGAGCCTGTCCCCACTGCCCCCCGCCACCCCGCCTGCCTCTCTGCCTACCTGTGATCTCTGTCAAATAAATAACCCTTTAAAAAAGGGGGCAGGGTGAGTTAGTTTTTGGTGCCAAATACCCGTAAGGAAGGGTAGAAACCCCTCCCTCTAAGGCAGATGACTCAGTTGATCACAAGAAGGTCACGATGACTTTAACTTTTGGGGGTGTGGCTGTTTTCTAAGGTGTGTTCTCTTTGAAGCCAATAAAGGTCGATTAAAATTCCTTTTCTAACTTTTACAGCTTGGATACACTCTTATAAGACCATACTTGTCAAACCACACAAATGTAAAATCAGGGGAGTAAAAAGCATTCACTTCCTGCTTCCTCTTCCAATCCTCCTTACCTTCTACACTTGTTGTCTTCCCTCTGCCCCGTTCATCAAGGCCAGAGAGGGTTAGTCCATCACCAGCAAGCACAACTTCATTCTCTTTGTGCCTTGTGCTAAGAGCAGCACAGGACCCCTGGTGTCTTCGGTGGTTGGGAAAGCTTCCGAGTGAACCTGACACCCTGTGTTCTGTGCCTTTCCCAGCTAAGCAGCTTTCATGGCCAGAGTGTCCCTTCGGCTCCCCAGCAGGAGCGTGGTAGTTTCAGCTGACTTTGACCCACTGGCAGTTCCCCAGGCTGCACCAAGCACTCCCTCACCAGCATTGAACCAGGTAGACAGGCCTCTTGAGAGCGCAAGATGCAGATCAATGTTGCTAGTGTTGCTTTAAGCTGCAAAGTTGCCCGTGTTCTTGCAAATTACACTCGCCCCCTCTAGAGACTGTTACAGTTCATTAGAAGATAATCTTCCGCTGATGACTTCACAACGAGGTTCCTTCTAATTGAATTACAGGAGAGCTCTTGATCACAAAATAGCAACCCATTCAGGGAGTGTTTCTTCATCTCACCTCCGAGGAAGAAAGCCACAGACCACCCCCACCCGCCCAGCTTTACTGACAGGCCCCATTCCAGCCCCTGACCCCCAACTCCAGTTCTCTGGACCCCAGGGAGACTGTCATCCTCCCTCGGAGCCAGCACGATGCCTACCTAGCCCATAATCGATGCTCAGTCTGTTGGGTTATTAATGTACCAACATCACAGCATTCTCATTTTCGGGCAATAAGTGTTGCTCGGATGCCTAGGAGAAGCAGACGCTGCTAAGTCCTATAGCAGACTCGAAAATAAGCAGAGGCCAGAAAGAGGAGCTTTCTAGAAGTAGAAGCGTTGAGGAACATAACAGTCCCTTCTAGCAGGGGACGGAGACCACCTCCAGGCAGTCTCCCTCCCTCTAGGAAGATGAAGAGGGGGCGCCCCCGCTGGATCAGAGACCTCTGACCTCAAAGGCTTTTAAAGAGCTTGTCAAGGGGCGCCTGGGTGGCTCGGTGGGTTAAGGCCTCTGCCTTCGGCTCGGGTGGTGATCCCGGGGTCCTGGGATTGAGCCCCTCATCGGGCTCTCTGCTTTCTCCTCTCTCTCTGCCTGCTTCTCTGCCTACTTGTGATCTCTGTCAAATAAAATCTGAAAAAAAAAAAAAAAAAAAAAAAAGAGCTTGTCAAAAAGGAGGGCCTGCAAAATGCAGGCACAATACAATCTAAGATGTTATGCAACACGACTTCTTTCTAAATGGGTTGGGGTCAGAAGTGTCCCCTTCCGTGTCACAGGTGGCTTGGGTGGTTGGGCAGCACAGGCACAAGGGAATTGGGCACTACCTGTGCATAGAGTACAAGGCATCGAAAAGGAAATGCTTTTCATGTGTAGGGAGGACGTCCTTGCTGGTGGCTTCAAACTGCATTTGAGGTTTTTCAATGACGTAAGCTGAGAAACATGCCTTCTTTTTTTGTAAGTGGGTCTGCAGCCATAATTTAGGTGTTTGCCATTGGTCAGGAATGCCTATCTGATCAAATCCTATCGGAGTTAATGCACCCTGATCTGCAACGTGGGTTTTAAACTTGAGGACCGTCTTCATGGGAGAAGGAAGAGTCACACAAGGGGCATGATCGGCAAGGACTCTAGGCGGGCCTGCGGCTGATCTGAGCGGCTGGTGGGCACAGGGGCCCGCAGGCTGGGCACCGCTCCTGGTCCACACCTCCTGCTTGCCCACCATGCCCACTCCTGCTGGAACCCTGTCTACACAGGCGTGAGTTTGAATGAATACACTTATGCATGCCCCAGCTTTTTAACTGATGCTGGCTTCTAATATTTTGCCCAAAGGATGCCAAAGTTGAATATAAAGGTGCCTCTAGGGGGAAGACACAGTGTCGTGCTTGCAAATAAGGCCTTGGAATCAGGCTGACTTGGATTCTGATCTCTTCTGATTGTGACCTGGGACACACACTCCACCTCTTTAAACCTCCACGTGCTCCCACGTAAAATGGGGTAAAAAATTTATTCATTATGGAAAAAGTATCTCTTCCCTAGGTGGTGAAATTATGGCTTCTATTTTTTGTATTTCCAAATTGCATACAATGAACATGCAGTTGTAATAACTAGGGGAAAAATACCGATTTTCAAAATCCCTAAGTTCCTCAAGAGTTCAGATACTAAAAGTTCACATGTCAAGGGTATGACTCTATCTCTAGTGAGGAGATTCTCTTAATGACACAATTCAGCATCTTCTTTTAATCCTCACAAGCCAGTGGATAGATGCTGGTACCTGTTTTAAGGTCTGGCTACAGAAAAGAAACGGAAGGCTCAGAGAATTTAAATACTCCTGATCTGACCAGTAACTAAATGACACCTGAAACGGGAGTTATTTTTGGCTGGAGCAGTTTCTCCCGGGTGCTCTGGAGTGCGGTCAAGAAGTCGCAGGACCAGAGACAGACTGGGGTGTGGGTGACTCGTGCTGCCTGCGGAGAAGGCTCCAGCCCCTACCTCCACAGGCTCAGGCATTCTGAGAGAAGGGGGTTTGGCGTGGCCATGGCCTGTGGAGCAGCCGTCCCCTCGAGCCAGCTGGCTGCAGGCGAGGCAGTGCTCACTGAGGAACCCGAGCTCCTGGGCCAGCCCGGCGATTCAGACCTCTCAGAAGGACCTGGCGACAGTGAGCTCCTGGGTGGCCCCGACTGAGGACTTGCCGGGGCTCTGAGGCCTCCCTCTGCTGGCCACGCCCATCCTCTGATGACCAGTGGCTGCTCTCAAGGTCCAACTTGGTCCCTGCCCTCTAGGACTGTGAGATTTCGTCCCCTCTCTGGGCCTTTGTGGCTGGCTCCACGTCTCGGGGGATGGGTTTTTGAACAGCTGGCTCCCTGGTTTCTCTTGGGAAAATGGTCCACAGCTTTCACCCCCAAAGCTGGGGCATCCCCGAGGTCCTCCCCAAGCCGGCCATCAGGCTCATGCCTCGCACACAGGAGGCATTCAGGTGAGTGAATCCAGGCCTTGCCCCAAACCTTGCACTTGGCTGTTGAGGACCAAGCGAGATGAGAAAGGCTTCCAAAGGCCCCAGAGCACACCTGTTCCCTGGGGAGGGGGTCAGCCAGGGCTCAGGAGCCACAGGGGAAGCATCAGATTCCCAGCCCCGTGGCTAACTGGCCACAGGAGCCCAAGCAGATCCGCTTTCTGCGTCACACCTTTGGGATGGAGACAGTGACGGGGTTGCTGTGGAGAGAAATGAGGCCATTCACAGAACTCAGCCTGGGGCCTGGTGTGGGTGCAGTAGGCAGCGAGCCCCGGGACACGACCGCTGCCCAGCACAGCCACCCTTGCCAGCCATAGCAGCCATAGCACCTCCCAGCGGGTGCCAGCTGGAAAGCAGCCTCGGGATCCCTGGTGGGACAGACAGGAGCCTCGTGCTGGGAGCTAAACGCCCAGAGCGGAGCTGCACGGTCTCTGGGGGAGAGAAGCGGGGAGACCAGTCACAGGCTCAACGGTACTGAGTGGCCCAGCGCAGACCACCAGCCTCAATGACACAGGAGGGCAACACTGTCTACTTCTCCCGGGGGACCAGGGGACAAGAGAGGGAGCAGCCCTGAGGCCCCCCCTCCTGGCCGGGCCTACTGCACTTGGATGAACAGCTGGCGTGAGCACGGGTGACACACAAGTGCACACGAGCACCGGCTCTGACTGGCGCCAAGTGACCGCTCAGACCGGGTTGTGCTCCCTGCCACCGAGCTGGGACAGCCGGACTGACGTCTGCCCCGGAGCTGGGAACAGAGGTGCCCCTGGTCACCCGCAGGCTGGATGGGGCGCTGCAGGCAGCCTGTGGCCTACGAGGCGCAGGGGGAGCGGGCACTCACCTCGAGAGCTGGGATCGGGGGCAGGGAAGGGGTCAGCGAGTCAGTGGTCCCCCTTCGATGTGCAAGGAACACACTCAGCTCCCAAATCCCTGCACTGAATTAACACAACCACCACCTTTTTAACGTAACCGAGTATAGTAAGCGGGTTCTAAAATAACGGGATGCTCAGGGCGCCTGGGTGGCTCAGGCGGGGCGTCCGCCTTCGGCTCAGGTCATGGTCTCAAAGTCATGGAATCAAGCCCGATGTCCCCGTGTTGGGGGCCCTGCTCAGCGGGAAGCCTGCTTCTTCCTCGCCTTCTGCCGTTCCCTGTGTTCTCTCAGATAAAATCTTTAAGAAAAAATAACGTGATGTTCGAAGTCGAATTGTTCCACACTTGAAGGTGAGAACTTCAACTGGAAGCCAAACTACAGTAAACGTAAGTAACAATTTTACATG